ATGTAGACAGCCTCCTCAAAAAGTTTAGCTGCAAAAAGTAGAAGAGATATGGGATCGTAGCTAGTGGGCCTGAAGGGAATGAGTGAGGGTTTCTTGAGGAAGGGAGAGACATGGACATGTCTGTAGTTAGTAGGGAAGCAACCAGTAGATTGGGACAGATTGAAGATACCTGAAAGAGTAGGGATGATAGGGCAATCTGCTGGAGAAGATGGGATGGAAAGGGATAATTTCTGCATGTGTGGAGTTGGTTTTGCCTTCACAATGACCACTTCTTCATGTGCCTGGCACATAGTAAACAATAAATAAATCATTTTTTATTTCTTCATATGCCACATGTGGTCTGAATAGGGCAGAGTACAGCAAGATTCTCTTCTCCTTACTTCTGGAAGTTATGTTTCTCTTAATGCAGCCTGTAATTATATTAGCTTTTTTTAATCTGCCACATCACACTGCTTTGAGCATTGAGCTTTCAATCCACTCAAACCCCTAGATGTTTTTCAAACAACCTGCCTCCCATCTTGTACTTGTGAAGTTGATTTTTTGATCCCAGTGTAAGATTTTAGATTTACCTCTATTAAATTTATTTATCAAGTTTTATTTATTAACTTTGTTAAATTTCATCTTTCTAGATTTTGCTTAATACTCTAGTTTGTCAAAATCTTTTGGGGTCCTGACTCTGTTATCCAGTGTGTTTGTTGTTCCTCCAAGATTTATGTCATCTACAAACTTGAGAGGCATGCCTTCTTTGACTTTATTCAAATCATTGGGCTAAGCACAGATTCCTGGATCACTCTACCCTACAACTCTTGCCAAGTTGATGTTGAATCATTAAGGAATACTTTTTAAGCGTGACCATTCAACCAGTTATGAAACCACGTAATTATATTGGTATGTGGTCCACATCTCTCCATATTTAACACAAGAATGCCATAAGATATATTGTCAACTGCTTTACCAAAATCTAGGTAATCTAGATACCATTCTTCTTATCTATCAATTCAGTAATGTTATTTAAAAAAAAAAAACAGAAATGAAAAGGTTAAAAAGCCTGGTGTGGCCTGTTATTAAAACCATGCTGTTTCTTTGTATTTATCACTTCCTTTTCTAAAGGTTCACTAACCATCTCTTTAATAATTTGTTACAGAATTTTTTCCAGGATTTGAAGAAGTGTGTGTGCGCATGTATGTGTCCTTCTTTCCAGATAACTTCTGCTTTTTCTCATCAGAACTGTTTCCCTTTCTGTCTTCCAAATTTCATCCTTGAAGGCTTCTCACCTTTCTTGAATCAATGTATCGTGTAGAATTTTAGGTCATTGGATACTACCTATCATTCCTCTGAACTTACTGACATCTGTTTTTTTAAAAACCTAGAGTGCATTCCATACTATCCCTGGTTTTCCTCCTCAATCATGAATTCTCCTTGCTCCCTCCTCCACCAAGATTCTCATCACTTCCACCCCAGAAAACAGTTCCTTTCTATTAGTAAGAATCAGATTAAAAATTGAATTTCCCTTGTTGGCTCTTCCACTTCCATTTTTGGATATAATTGGATATAATTATTAAAGCAAGTCAAGAAGTTATTAGCTGCTCAAATATTGGGGGGAGGGGAGAGAGAGAGAGAAGAGAAGAGAAGAGAAGAGAAGAGAAGAGAAGAGAAGAGAAGAGAAGAGCTAAGCAAAAAGAGACTGAGGAGATAAGGAGAGAGAACATGAGGAGAGAAAGAGGGAGATAGAGAGACTGAGAAAAGAAACAGATTCAGAATATATCTGGATAATTGAAGCTCCTTATCACTAATAAAGCCTGCTTCTATGTTTCTGATCTCTTTCCCAAACTCTCCCTTTTATTCCTTTTTCTATCCCCAGTGGTCTTGTAACATACTCCAATAAGAATATCTCCTTCCATTTTTCGTTACCTAAATGCTATCCCCCATGTTTCCCTGCTCTGGTTCCTGGTTTTCTTTCCATAATTATTTTTTTTAATAAACCTCTTTCACCTGTCCTCTTCCTTTGTTTGAATAAAACAGGCCTCTTCAGGCATGGGTCCCACCTGTCTCACGTATAACTATCAGGTCAAGGTTGCTTCCTAATGTTAGGACAGTTAGGTCGTCTTGCTTATTAACTTTGCATAGACTATATTGGGGATGATTTTTTTTAAATACTGGGTTTTAACTTGAATTTTTCTCACCTGTGAATATCTGAGTGTCTCATCTACCAGCTTCTTTGTTTTAGTTCCTTTCTATGTTATCTAGCATGGTGGGTTTAAACAGGATGTGTTTACCCTCCTTCATCCTTTCAATTTAATTTTACTTGGTTGTGTACATGTTTATCTCTGCTCCCAACCGCAATAAGATGTAAGTTCCTTGAGGACAAGGATCTAAGTGGGATTTTGCCTATGTACTTAGCACAGTGCTTTGACCATAGTGTGTGCTTAAGCAATGCTTATTGGGTTGAATTAAGTTGAATCCACTCCAGAGTACAATACACTTCATCAGCTTACAGTAAAGGCTCCCAAAGGCCTGGACCCAACAACTATTAGTTGCCAAGTTATTACCTCAGTTTCCTCACCTTTTTATTGTTCAGTCATTTTAGTTTGTGTTCTGCTCTTCATGACTCCATTTGGGGTTTTCTTGGCAAAGATACTAAAGCGGTTTGCCATTTCTTTCTCCAGCTCATTTTACAGAAGTGTATTGGAAATAAAGATACTTATATCACCTACTTGACTTGGATTCAAGAGAGAACTGGATTGGAATTCCTGCTTCAACAATGACTACCCTTGTTACTTGGATATGTCACTTTACACTTCTCCCTCAGTTCTCCCCTCAGTAAAATGGGGATTATGATACTTGTCCTAACGCTCTTGCAGAGTTGTTGCATGGAAAGTGATTTGTAAGCTCTAGGGGAACTTGACAATAAGAACTCCAAATCATTTGGAGACCTTGGTTGGTACCTAAAGGTAGTTTAGGAAGATTGAATTACTTCCTGCCAAGGCTTTGGTGTTCAAAAGGGGATTAAATGTTAGCTCCTTCTGCCTTTAGGCAGTGCATCATTGCCTATCTCCTCCTATCCAGGAGGAGTTATAGTTTGTGTCCCTCTATCTGGAGATTCTGCCATAAAGGAGGAGCAATGCAAGAGCACACTGGAGTGTGAGAAAGTTTTTCACTGTGTTCCCAAACCTCAAGTTCAGTATTTGATCTTAGAGACTGGTGTCTCTACTTCTGTCCAGCCCGATGCAGCTCCCAGGTACCTGAGTCTCCTTTCAGACACATGACTCGCAGGTGCAGGCATGCTGGGGGTGGGGACTCCTCGAGCAAGAGACCAAAGCATGCTTTCACTGGACATTGAAATCCAGTGTTGAGGGGCTGTGATCTGAATCACTGGAGGGAGAAGCCTCCAGGAAAAATCACCAATCCTTGAGGTCACAGAATGTCTGAGGTGGAAGGGACTTCAAAACAGAAGATCCAATTTCAGAGCTGCAAGGGACCTTATATGACCTATTTAATCCAGGAGTTCTTAACCTTTTTGGCTTGGACCTCTTCTCAGAATGTTTTTGAATGCATGAAACAAAATACATGGGATAAAGAAAACCAGTTATATTGAAATATAGTTATCAAAATATTTTTAAAAATTCTTGGACCCCAGGTTAAGAATTCCTGATCTAGTGCAATCCCCTCACCCAACAGAGAAGGAAACTGAGGCACAAAGAGGTTAAATAACTTAGTCTGTGGGTCAGGAAGATAAGTCTTCAAGGGACACTCCCTTCTGCTAAGTTTCCAGTGCAGTATGTTCTTTGATCCCTCCTATGTCAGTAATGATCTTCATCTTTAGACCTCTCTAACAGCAACAAAAATGTTATGTAGAGTTATCTTCATTTGTATCTTATCCTTACAGTAAAATGTGAGCTCCATGAGGGCAGAGGCAATGTCTTATCAAAGCTTTGTACCTTCTACAGCACCTAGCACAGGACTTTGCACACAGTAGGTCCCTTAACAAGTGTTTGTTGAAAGAGATACAAAAGTGAGTAATAACAGTGCTTTACAAAGTATTCTTAAAATAATCCTGTGTAATATGCAAATGTTATTATCCCCATTTTACATATGAGGAAATTGAAACTTAGAAAGGTGAAATATCTTGCCTAGATTTACACAGTTAATTACCTCCAAGTTGACTCTATCCACTGGAGAGGAACCTTAAGAGCTTGTCTTATAAGTTTGTGAAGAAAGCATGTGGCAGAAAGTCATAGTGTAGTAATACTAAAAAGAAAAGCAACAAAATCTGAAAGAAAAAAAACCCTCCAAAGAAAAAGATCAGATAGGAATATGAAAACAAACAGGACATTTTTGTTGTTTTTGTTAAAGCCTATATATATGTGTGTGTGTGTGTGTGTGTATGTGTGTGTGTGTATATATATACATATATATAATCATATATATATATATATATATATATAATTTTTTTTTGATGAGGCAATTGGGGTTAAGTGACTTGCCCAGAGTCACACATCTAGTGAGTGTTATGTGCCTGAGGTTGGATTTGAACTCAGGTCCTCCTGACTGCATGGCCAGTACTCTATCTACTGCACCACCTAGCTGCCCCCCCCATATATATACACACACATACACATAGATAGATAGATAGATAGATAGATAGATAGATAGATAGATATAGATTTTTTTTGAAAAACAAAACAAATAGTTTGGAATTTGTAGTTTTATGTATGATAATTAATTATTCAATTAATTTACATGAATGTGTATTTTGTTAATGGTTACTAAGTTTGGAATTTTAACCTTTAAAAATAAAGTTCTGAAAACCAAGTAAACTTGACTATATTGGATAAGTAACTGGAAATTAATGTTCTGTTTTATGCTTAGAGAAAAAAGAAGCTGCCACTTTTCCAAAACATGAAGAAAGGATAGACTGGGGGAGGATTGGGGAGTGGGAGAGTGGCATAGCCTGCCTTTGACATGAGATGCTCATCTCTCACCATCCTTTCTCTTTACAGTGCGCTACTTTCTGAAGAGCAAGATAAGCCCTGACCTATGCAATGAAGATGGACTCACTGCACTGCATCAGGTGAGAACCTAAGCATGCCCCTGCCCAAGTGTCAAGGAGTGGGAGGGAGGGAGGGAGGGAAGGAGGAAGTGAAGGTGTCCCTTCTCCTTTTATTCCCCAGTCTATTGGATAACCCTATATCTCATTTCTATTCCACATTCCAGCAAGTCACTTAAGGGCCATATTTAGGACTAAAATATTTATACTAATTTGTTATGGTGATTAGAGATTGATGAGTCTCCCATTTTAAGACAATGCCAAAAACATCAACTGTGTTGAGACAGTGGTCTTGGAATTTTTGCCTTTAAATGGGTATATTTGCTGCCAGCTGGTAAATAGCTGGGGCAACAGTCTAATGGCCCAGGTGGGCTCCAAGGCTCTGGTATCATCTCCATTTGTGGGGTAGTGATGGACCTCAGGTGACAGAACCATATCATATCTCCTTATTACCTATCAAAGAATGCATAAACTTATCCTGGCATCCAAGGCCCTCCTTAATCTTGTTCCACCCTACTTTGTAACCTTATCTCATGCTACAGATACTCAATGTTTCAGAATTTTGTACCTTCTTCTTATTTTGCCCAGTGGCAGCATCATAGGATAGAAAATTTGAGATGGAAAAGACTTTGGAGGCCCTCTACTCCAATTCCCCCCCCCCCCCCATTTTGCAGATGAGGTGGAAGCAAATAGCAGAGCTTGGATTCTAACCCATGTCCTTTGACTCAAGCTAAGGATGCTTCAAAGAGGCCCTGTGTCTAGCTCTCCAAGAATGGGAAGGATTGTACATGTCTCCTAGTGCATCATTTCCTTATGTTGTGAAGGGCAGCTTTAAAACTTAGTGTCCAAGAGCTTTCATTTGCATCCAAGGCACTGGCTCATTCAAAGTTCACAAAACAGCTTTGGAAAACTGCAGTCATGTCGTCATGGAGCAGCATGTTCTGTACCAAGGTCTACATTTGAGTGAAGAGCCAGCAGGACAGGGTGGAAGTTATGTGACCTGTAAGGAAACTGAGGTGGCGGGAGCCAAGATGGCAGAGTGAAAGCAGTAACTTGCTTGAGCTCTCCCCCAAAGCCCTCCAAATGTCTGTTTAAAAAAATGGCTTTAAACAGAGGAAACTAAGGTGGCATGTGTGTATGCATGTATGTATATGCATGGGACTACATTACAGGATAAATCCTGTGTGTGGCCTTGACCCAGTTCTGAAGTTTGGTGCCTCTAATCTCTCTCAACCCCTGTCTTCCTGGGTGGTAATCTTGGCCAGGCCAAGACTCCTGGCCAGGATCACTGTAGCTGAGCAAGCTGCCCATTCCCAGTAGCTCCTTTCACTGTGACCTCCAGCAATCATTGTTTCCCAGGAGAGACCCATTATGATAGTATTATAGTGTGTTAGAATTGGAACTGGAAGGGACTTCAGAGACCATCTAGTCCAAGACCCTCATTTTTAAAAAATCTGCTTTTTTTCAATTAAAATGCATTTTTTCTCCCTCCCACCCTCACCTCTGATTGAAAAGAAAAGAAAGCAAAACTCTTATAAAAAACATGCAGAGTCAAGCAAAACAAATTCCTACATGGACCATGTCCAAAAAATAAACGTCTCAATCTTAACCTGAATCCATCACCTCTTTGGCAGGAGGGGGAAAGCATCCTTCATCACTGGTCCTCTGAAATTATGGTTGGGCATTGCCTGGGTCAGATCCTTAACTCCTTCAAAATTTGTTGTTGTTAAGTTGTTTTGCAGTCACGTCACCCAGCTAGGAAGTGTCTGAGGCCAAACTTGAACTCATGAAGATGAGTCTTCCTGACTCCAGGCCCAGATCTCTAACTATCTATCTATCTATCTATCTATCTATCTATCTATCTATCTATCTATCTATTGTGCCTTCTGCTATTATTGTATTAATCGTTCTCCTGCCAAACCCCTCATTTTACAGATGAGATCCTAATGCAAGTGACTATTCCCTGCCCCCCCTTCTAAGCCTAGGACACTTCAGTGATTCTCCTCAACTTGTTAGATAACTTGCTAAGAGGCTGGGCAGGGACTGCAGCAGGTGGCGGTGGGGGTAAACAGGAGCTGGGTTGTTAAGCTCCATCTGAACACAGCTCATCTTTCCGACTTCTTTTCCAACAATGGTAAATGCACTCATTGACTACCCTTCTCTCCCCAGATGAGGTTCTTCTCTCAGCCACCCTCACCCCTGCCTGGTGCTGCCTGTTGTGCTGTCAAATGTACACAGAAATTAGTGCCTCGGGTGATAAGAAGGGCTTTTTGTTTACTAGGATGCACTTTCCCAGCAGAGGGATCCACGATTTAAGCTTGGGTTGCAGTGATTGCTTCCATGGCTCCCAGCCAGAAAAAACTGCTGCTCTGGTGTCACTGGCCTAAACTTATGGATGTGCTGGCCCAGGGTCTGTCCCCTAATGAAGGCATGTGGAAGATCTGGGGGTCCAGATCAAATTCCTGCCCTGGGATTGGCCGTTACTGTGACTGCTTCTCTCTTCTGTCTCATCAGGAGTTCATGGGAAGGGCAAAGATGCCAGTCTTGCCAACTGTCATGCCTGGGGAGTGTGAATGTTTACTGGAGGTGGGAATGGGGATGGGAATGGAACCAATTTGTGAGTCATCCATGTAGGGACCTCCCTGTTGAAGAAACTCCATCCTTCCACGCAGACTAACCATAGATCCACAACTTAGAACATCTCTTAGTCCTAGAGAGTTGTCTGGGCTACTATTAGGTTAGGTGACTCTCCTGTGTCAAAGGCCAGACTTGAACCTGGGTTGTCCTGATTCCAAAGAAGTCTCTCTATCCCCTACTATACACTGCTTCTTAGAAGTTGTTCCTATTAATAATTCTCATAATGATTCAATAATGATTCAATTTAACAGACACTTATTATTAAACTCCTATGTACAGGGCACTGTGCTAGGTTCTAGGGATATAGTCATTGTGAGGCATGTTAGGTGCAGGTCTGTAAAGGGCAGAACACATTGCTGCCTATGGAGGGCAGGCTCTAGGGTGAGTATGGAGGTGTGGGGTCACTGCTGGGAGGACTTGAGTAATCAGTGACCAGCTTGAAGACATGAGATACCTAGCAAGCTAAAGTGGGGCAGATGTGGGGACCCTGTATTAGTTACTCAGCCATTTGGGCCTGGGGGTAACCAAGGGGAAAGCTGAGGAAGGAAGATAGAACCTGCCTAATTTTAGTGCAGTGAAGGAGCCAGATCGGGATCAGGAGATGAGTCTGAGGCTCAGCTCAGACATTTACTTTGTACGACAGTGAGCAAATCACTTTATCACTTTGTACCTCAGTTTCCTCATCTGTAAAATGGGCACAGTAATATGTATATTATTTGCCCCATAGACTTTTTGTTTGTTTATTTTGGAAGAAAGATTTGTGTAACCTGTAAAGTACTATAAGAATGTGAATTATTAGTGGTCTTCATAGTTTGCTCTGGTAATCTGTGTGCAGAGAACTACAACCAAGGTAAGCTGAAGAGAAGCCACTAGCAACTGGAAGAATCTAAAAGATGCCTTGTTCCTCCTTCCCCCTTTCCCTCCCAGGAACCCTAACCCTATGCTGACCCCCAGCCCTAGGGATACTATTCAGAATAACGGGGTGACAATGATTAGCACAAGGAAAGGGTCCTTTCCAACTCTAGGTCCATGAACCTTGTTCTCAATCTTAAATCCTTCTCTTCAAGGCCCAGCTCGGTGGAAAGAGCACTGGGCCTGAAATCAAGAAGACCTGAGTTCAAATCCAACAGGCCTCAGATTCTTAATAGCTGTGCGACCCTGGACAAGTCACTTAACCTTTGTCTGCCTTGGTTTCTTCTACTGTAAAATAGGGATAATCATAGCACCTCCTTCCCAGGGTTGCAGTTGATCAAATGAGACAATCTTTGTAAAAAGCTGAGCATGATGACTGGCACATAGTAGATTCTTAGTAAATTCTTGTTTCTTTCCTTCCTTCCAGGAGCCTTCTTTAACTGCTCCCCACAAATGAAGCGACTTCTCCCTCTGGACACCTCTTTTGTACCCATCACACTCTACCTTCATTATACTTAGCTATGTTAATGTCCTGTTCCCCTGATTGGATTGTAAGGTTTTTGAGGGTGAATGACTATACCATTTTCCATCTTTACATCCCCCAAATCCCAAAGTTTACGCATGGTTGGTGCTTAATAAATGTTTGTTTTGGGGCAACTTGGTGGCGCAGTGGATAAAGTGCTGGGCCTGGTGTCAAGAAGGCTCCTCTTCTGAATTCAAATCTAGCCTCAGATGTTTACTAGCTCTGTGACCCTGTGCAAGTCACTTAACCCTGTTTCAACCTTAAACCTCAGTTTCCTCATCTGTAAAATGAGCTGGAGAAGCAAATGGCAAACCACTCCAGTATCTTTGCCAATAAAACCCCAAGTGGGGTCTTGAAGAGTCAGACATGACTGAAATGAACAACAACAACAAAATGTTTGTTTCATTGAATTGAAATTGATAATTGACTCTGAAAGACTTTTAAAAAGCTTCCTAGACTCAAAGGAATGAGACTGTAATGGTTAGTTTCCAGATCTTAAGGACAGGGGGATGAGGGATCAGGGTTCTTAGCAAGCTTCTCATTCTTGCCTTGGCCCTGGAACTCTGGTGAGCAGTAGCAACCCTTTGGACAGAATAATATTTAGAGCTGGCAGGGATGATAGATATCTCTTCTAGTCCCCTCATTTTACAAATGTGGAAACTGAGGTGGGGGAAGGATTTGCCTAAGGTTGCATAGGTTGCAAATGGTCAAGCCAGAATAAGAATCTAGGTCCTCTGACATCAAATTGCATAGTCTTGCTACTATGCTGCCCTTGGTCTTGTCCCTGCAAATGCTGGATGCAATGGAGAACAAAAGTGAGGATCAGCTGGGATGTCATAGTAGGAATATTGGATCTGGAACCAGTGGGCCTGGGTTCAAATTCTGGTTCTGCTACTCAGTAACAGTAAAGCCGTGAGGAAGTCACTCTAGTAATAATAGCAGATATCTCTATTATGCCATAAAACCTTCAAACTGTTTGATATATTGTCTCTCATTTGAACTTAACTTCCTGGAGCTCATTTTCTTCCCTTGCAGAGTGAGGGGATTGAAGGAGGAATTGCAGAAACTCATGTCTAAGGTTTCTTCCAGCTCTAAAATCTCTAAGTCATAATTTGGTGATTTCTGGGACCCTGTGGTTTCTGCCTTGGTCTCCCCTCAGCCTCACTCTCTCTCTCCTTGTGCTTCTGTGTCCTTCACCCCACTTCCCTAAAGTGCTGCATAGACAACTTTGAAGAGATAGTCAAGCTTCTGCTGAGCCACGGGGCCAACGTCAATGCCAAGGACAATGAGCTGTGGACGCCCCTGCATGCTGCTGCCACCTGTGGCCACATCAACCTGGTGAAAATCCTCATTCAATAGTAAGTGGTTCCTTTCTCTCTGTCTGATGCCTTTTGGGTGTTTTCTTTCCTCCAGAGGCATGTGACAATGAGCTCTTGGGCTATGAATGGGTAAGAAGGTTGGAGTGGAGGGGGCAAAGGGATTGGCAACTCCACTGCTCCCATTTTCTGGGAATGGGAGGAAGCTGGATTGCATCACTACCAGGAGAATGCTGTTGTGTGTTTTGACTGAGAGCAGACCTACATTCTTCCTGCAGGAAGACCTGGCCAGGGCAATGCTGGCACTCTGGTAGCTCAAGCTCATGGAAACTGGGAGATGAAGGGAAAGAAGAATAGTTAGCTCCCTGGAGAGAAAGCTTCTTTTTTATGAATATTTGGAAGACATAGGTTTGAACTATAGCTCTGTTACTTGCTTATTGTATGAACTTGGGCAGGTCTGGGGCTCTCTGGACCTCAGTTTTCTGCCTTCATAAAATGACGAGGTTGAACTTGATGACCTCTTAGGTCAGCTCTAATTATGGATCTGTGATCCTCTGACTCCATGACTAAATGACATTTGAGGTCCTGTCCAGCTCAAGCATTCTGAGATTCTAATGGAACGATACAATAAGAAAGCAGGCTTTGAGCCATTTTTCCCTTCTCACCTGAGATGATCAAGCTTAGTGGTTGTAAAGTAATGTTGAGTCTCAGAAGAAAGGTGTTATGTGTGCCTGGGGTTGTGGTTTAGTGTTTCTGTTTTTGGTCCTGTAGTTTGCAGACTCCAGAGATTTAGGGTAGAGTGTTTTTATAGCAACAACAGACTGTCTTGTTGAAGGCATTGATCATTTCTTGCCGATTTTTAGTGATGCCCAGTATAATACCCCTTTTTGATATTGACAGTGAGATCTGTTTTTTTTTTAAAACTAGACAACAGCAGGCACCCCAATATACTATGCATAAGCTAATGAATATGAACTTCACCTGTGAGCCAGGCAAACCTTGCATATGCAGTTATTGTTTTGGGACCTCTTCTGAAGAGTTTGGTGTCAAACCCTTTTGGAGGTTCATCCACTGAAAGGCTTGTGTTATGTTCTGAAACAGACAAAAAAGAAAGAGCCCCAGATTTGGAGACCTGTTTTTGAGTTCCAGCTACCATCTGTGTGACCTTGAGCAAGTCACTTCCCTCCCTTGGCTGTCAGTTTCCTCAACTGTTAAATGAGAGAGCTAATAAGTCCTTGCTGCTGAAGCTGTGAATTAGCTCAGTCGTTCTGGGAAACAATTTGGACTTAAGCAAGAAAAGTTGCTAAGCTGTTCATACCCTGGGATCCAGCAATCCCAGTGTTGGATTTCTGCTTCAAGGACATCATGACAGAACTAAATCTCATATGTGTGAAAATGTTCACAGCAATATTATTTGCAATAAGAAAAAGCTGCAAACAACCTATGTGCTCAGCTATTGGAGAATGGCTGACCGAACTATGGTAGATAAATGCAATTGAATATTACTGCACCATAAGGAATGATGACAATGAAGAATTCAAAGAAACATGGAGAAACATGTATGAACTGATGTAGAATGAAGTAAGCAGGACCACAAGAATAATATACCCGATGACTAAAATCATAGGAATGTAGATGGCATCAAGAAGCAACAAAATTTAGGTTGAATATGAGGTCCAGTGTTGATAACAAATTACTGAAGTTAAAACAATGTCCTTCCTTTCTGTTGTCAAATAGCAAATTGCAGAAATGAGTGATGTGGTTGGTCAGTCAAAATCACTTTATTAGGCAGTTTTGTTTAGCTTTTTATAGGAAGCTATGGGACAGGTTTTTTTTTTTTAAATTGGGAAGTGACTGTAAGCTCTTTGAGGGCAGGAATTGTCTTTTACCTCTTTTTGCATCTCCAGCACTTAACACAGTGCCTGGCACATAGTAGGCTCTTAATACATGTTATTGATTGACCAATGTATCAAAATAAAATGGATCAATACAAATTGTATCAAATGAGGGAGTTAGAATTGATGACTTCCAAGGTCCTTTTCAGATCTAAAATCTTATTTTCCTATGAAACTCTAAACTCTAAACAGCAGAATACTGAGCTTTTGGCAGCTTGTGTGTCCCAACATTTGTGACTCATCCTCCTCACCCCCTGTTATTTTTCCTAAGACAAACTTGTGGGATTATTGGAAGTGGATGTTCCACCAGCACTGGAGTGATTTAGAGTGGTTATCCCAGAAAAGTCTTGTAGTCATTATGCAGAGATTTAAGTTTCATAATCACAATCAGCAGCTTGGTGAAAAGCATTGCTACTAGTATTACAGAACTGTACTATTATATCTTGGTACTCACATGTTTATCTCATCGGAGGAGAGACAGTATGGTGTAACAGAAAAAGTAAGTGGGGGGAGTGGTTTGGACTTGGAGTAAGGATACCTAATTTCCCTCCCTAGTCTGGGAGCTTACTAGTTCCACAACCATGATCAAGTCACTTCATTCTCTATGATGCAGGTTTTTCATTTGTAAAATAGACATAATAATACAATACTTGTACTGGCTAACTCACAGGGCTTGTCAGTAAAAGTGCTTTGTAAATTTTAAAGTACTTTTGGAAATGTGAGTTATCTTAGATAATGACACTGTACCTTGTTTGTGGAAGAAAGTGTCTCTTGGATAACCCCTATTTGACGTTTATAATTGTCCAAGGCGAGGTCACTCAAGTCTTGTCACTACAGGTAAAAGAATACAATAAAAATACAGTCCGTGACACATAATCTTGCTAGCAGTATCAGAAGAAGCAAGGAAGTACTTTCTCCTAAGTATCTTCAGATGATTTTGGACCCTCCCAGGAAGAATGATACTCTATTTTTAGATTTAAGTATGCAGATTTTGTGAGCAAAGTGTTATTTAAACTACCCTTGGATGCCCAGAAACTGCCCAGGAACTGTCCATGGTAGACTGTTTTCTTTCCTCTTGCCAATGCCTTGGATTCCTTAGGATGCAGTTGGAGTAACACCATCTGAACACTTTCTCCAAGGATTAATCTTCAAAAATGTACACAAATGCAAGAGATTATGGTGGAGATGGTGACGTGTCTTATACGTGCTCAATTATTTACATGTTGTCTCCTCCACTGGAGTGTATGCTCTTTGAGACCAGGGCCTATTTTTGCCTATTTTCTTATCCCCAGAGTTTAGCATAATATCTATCACATAGTAAATACAATAAAAATTCTTATTGGTTGGTTGGTATATTTTTATCCTTATGTTACTTGAAGGGTTAATGATTTCTTTTATGTGAATGCTTTCTCTATTCAATCAATCAATCAACAAGCCTTGATTAAGTGCATACTACATACCAGATACTATGATAGGCACTGGGGATGCAAATAAAAAAAAAAAAGAAACAATCCTATTTTCAAGGAACTTATGTTATAATGGAGGATGCAACTTTTCTTCAAACCTTGATATTCTTCATGAATTGCTATAATTGAAAAAATTAATCTCTTGGTAGCTAATCTTATGGTGATATTCTATGAAAGTAACTGTATTTTTTCTAATGGCTGGTGCATCACCCACTACCAGACCCATACTTAAAACTTGTCTAGCTCCATAGGCCTTTCCAGAACTTGGACTCTACTGGTAGGGCCTTTAAGAACCCTAGTCCCTAATTCTTACTTACAACATCACTAATGTGAAAATATGTTTAATAGGAATGTATATGTATAGCCTATATCAGATTGTGCGCCATCTTGGGGAGGGTGGTGGGGAGGAAGGGGGAGAAAAATTTTAAACTCAAAAGCATATGGAAGTGATTGTTGACAAATCAAAATAAACTAATAAAAAAAAGAAAAAAAAGAACCCTAGTCCCCTTCATGTCAAAATGAGGCATCAAAGGAGAATGGGCGTAGTGGAAGATCTCCATGTTACAGACTGAAAAATGACACTGAATCTGTCAGGGCTGAAAGAAATAGTGTCCAAGATGGGCACATGATGTGAACTCCATGCTGTTTTTTTTTAACCAGAAGATATTTGGAAGTACTAATTTGAGAAGGTACTCACAGTCAATTGAGAAGTTGAATCTAGAATCCAAAGCTTTTATAAGGGATGTGGAGAAACAGTCAGAACTTGACCTCATGTCCTTTGGAGCTGCAACTCTGTGCTTCAGCTTGGCCAGCATGCAGAATCCCGATGCCAGAAGGACACTGTCAGCCCAGAGAACCATAACTCTTGAGTTGCTACAGGCACTTAACATCAGGATGAGCAAAAAATGGGGCAGATGTCACATAGACAAGAGGATGATGAATGGTTCCAGCATACACCTGGGCAGGGCGGATCTGTTCTCACATGCACCTGTCACAAGGCCTGAATGGATCTGGACATGTGTGTGTGTGTGTGTGTGTGTGTGTGTGCGCGCACGTGCACGTATCTGTGTGGAGGGGCTGTGGCTGCTTGCAAATCAGCTGTTGAACCTGATCTATCCATTCAAGTGGCGTCATCTGTGCTGCCAGATTAACCTTTCTCAAACATCACTTTTTCAGAATAAGCTTTATTGATGCCTTTTGTTTTACTGCGCTATCATTTTCTGTATAGATCCTGTCCCCTTTCCACTCCTTTGTAACAAAGAAAAACAATTAAGCAAGAGCAGTGATCTAACAATGGGTGCCATGTTCTGCTCTGCCCAGGGGAGGGAGGCATGTTTCCTTGTCTCTTCTCCAAAGCCATTATTGATTTTTTAATTACTCAGAATTCAGCTTTCTTTGGGTGATCTTTTCATTTACATTGTAGCAGTTCTTGCGTATTTTGTCAACCATCCTTTGACCAAGATTCTTTGGTGGTTATCTCATGCATACAAGATTGAGAGTTGGGAGTGGCCTTAGATATTATCTAGTATGATCCTCTCATTTTTAGGTGAGGTAACAGGCCCAGAGAAAGGAGATACTTTGCTTAATGTCACACAAGGAGCCAAGCAGAAGAGCTGGGATTTGGCTTTAGGTCTTCTGACTCCACATTTAATGTTTATTCTGCCTTACCACATTTTGGTCCAAATTCTTTAGCTCTTCCAACCTGACAACATCACACCTCTTCAACCTTATCTACTACTGTTCCCCACCATTGCAATCAGGCAATCTATTTCTTCCATAGCCTAGTTGGACATTGGTGCCATAACTAGGGCATGGAGAGTAAGGATTTGTCTCAGAACACTAAAACTTAGAGGACACCAATTGTGCCATCCCTGAATATATTTCCTCCCTCAGGAACCCAAGCCACTTCCCACTTTTCCTGAGCAAGATGGAAATCTGATGATGTTCCAAAAAGTGCTTCCTTCACACAGCCCATGTAATCACATCCCCTTTGAACTGTCACGCCCCCAGCTAACGCTGCTGTACCCCTAACCTTGAACTTAAACGCAAAAGTTCTTAGTTACTTATAATCATAAGTACAGAGAAGTTTCACTGAGGAGTGGTAGGCTGGAGGGTGGCCTGCCTAGGGGAGGTGTTGGAGACAATTAAACTATTGGTCTGCATGCATTTAATGGAATAAAGGAAGAATCTAGTGGAGAGCTTGATCCTTACCCATTTATATGGGTGCTAGTAACCAAATCTATGAGATGTTAGAGTCACTAGGCCTAGTCAAGCATTGTAAAAATCATCTCAGAGATGTATAAAGATCTAAGAATAATGATAACCTTTAAAGAGGATGCCTTAGCTTCATCTTGGCTGTGGTGAGACTCTCAATCAGTCATAGCCATTTCCCAGGGAAGGAGAAAGGCTAGAGGGGAGAAAGCTGTCTACCATAGAGAGTTCCTGAACGGCCTTCTGATAGCTTTTAAATGGTCCACTCTTGTAGAATCTGCTTCCCCGAATCTGAAGTGGGGTGGAGGAAAATGAAGCAGAGGCATATTTAAAGGGAAGACTGAGCCTTTCCTCCCCAACATGTGGTCCTCATATGAAACTTTCTTTTTTACAGTGGGGCAGATTTGCTTGCAGTCAACTCAGATGGAAATATGCCCTATGACCTCTGTGAAGATGAACCAACCCTCGATGTGATTGAGACTTGCATGGCATATCAGGGTGAGGAATAGGAAGATGATGAACTTTTTCTCAGCTCCCTTGTGTGTATTGGGGTAGGGGGTACAGGGTGGAGAGAAATGTGTGTAAAATGGCAGTAAGACTAGAAAGCATTGATCTCAAGGCCTGAAGGAAGAGAGACAGAAAGAGAGAGGGAGAGAGACAGAGTCTACTTCTGATTGTGACTGTTACTATATTTGTGTCCATGCCTCTGTGTGTGTGTGTGTACACACACACACACACACATATGTATAAAGAGATTCCTTAAGATGAAAAATAGTATTTATATATCAAGAATTATAAACCAAATTGATGAAGATCATAGAACTAGGAATCTTGTATTCTAATCCCACTTGGCTCTTTCAATGACACTGTAGGACTAAGTTTTCTAAGTGTCTGTTTCCTCATATGTAAAGGAAGGATAACAATCTCTGTGCTATCTCCTTCTCAGGGCTGTTGTCAGGCTAGGAGATTGATAAAAGGTGTGAAAATACTATGAAAAGTGAGCTCAAGGCATTGTTAGCTTAGATATTCACAAATTAGTGTTCATAATATCAGTGACAAGAAAAGAGTCTAGACTGTTGGGGTTTCTTACTTGTTCTCCTACTAGGTTGATCTGGTTTAGGAATCAAATGACATAGCCAGGATGTACCTGATTTACTCTTTAAAAAAATTTTTAACCAACTGCAAATATGGTAAACCTGGCCACAGAAAAATAAAACAGCAAAAGAGAATTATGCATAAGATTGTAAATCTATATTACACGTAAGTTGCTTTTCTTTTCGTGTCTATTGTTAGTTTCAATGTGTTCTTTTCAAAGCTAACCTGCTTATCTGTGTTTCCTACTGACCTTCCTTGTGTTCTCTTCTATGCATTTTAAATGCTTAAATGCTCTTTTTGTTATTTTCTTCTTTCTTTTCATTTTGGTAACCCTATTGTTAGCCCTTTGTTCCCCTCTAAATCCCCATGCCCAATTGAAAGAAAGAAAAAAAAAACTTGTGTCAAACATGGGTGAAGAAGCAAAATAGGTCCTTATATTGATCATATCCAAAAATATATGTCTCGCTCTGCTGAGTTCATCACCCCTCTGACAGGAGATGGGCAGCATTCATCATTACTGATCCTCTGGCATCATGGTTGGTCATTGAATCAATCAAAGTCCTTAAGAATTTCTGAATTGTTCATTTTTATAATGTTGTAATTATATAAATTGCTCTCCTGTTTCTGCTCACTTCATTCTGCAAAATTTCATCCAAGTTTTTTCCAAGTTTCTCTGAAATTGTCTCTCTCATTTTTAACAGTGAAAAATAGTCCATTACATTCATATTCCATAGTTGGTTCAGTCATTCCCCACTTGATGTATACCCATTAATTTCTAGTTCTTTGCCACCACAAGAAGATCAGCTACAAATATTATTATATATATGGGTCTTCTCTCTCTCTCTCTCTCTGTCTCTGTCTCTCTCTCTCTTTCTGTCTCTCCCTCTCTCCCTCTCTCTCTCTCTCTGTCTCTCTCTGTCTCTCTCTGTCTCTCTCTGTCTCTCTCTGTCTCTGTCGACCTAGTAGTGGTATCACTGAGTCAAAAGGCATAGACAGCTTAGTGACTTTTGGGGTATAGTTCTGAATTGCTTTCCAGAACGGCAAGACCTATTTATAGCTCCACCAACATCGAATTAGTGTACCTGTGCCCCTCTAACCCCTCCAACAATTGTCCTTTTGTCCTTTTCCTTTCTTGTCTTTTTTTTTTTTTTTTTTTTTTTTTTTTACCAATCTGATGGGTGTGCGGTAGAATCGGGAACATTTCTTTAATATGTGTTGCTGGTCTGCTCTCTCAGGCATCACCCAAGAGAAGATCAACGAGATGCGGGCTGCTCCTGAACAACAGATGATCGCCGACATCCGCTGCATGATTGCAGCAGGTCAGGACCTAGACTGGACTGACGCTCAAGGAGCCACCCTGGTGAGCAGATCTGTCTCAGCCCAAGCTGGAGCCCCAGCCGTCTCCTCTAGCGGTGATCCTGGCCTCGGGCCCTCAGGATCCTGAAAACCACAGCCGCACCAGGCCTGATGGCTGGTGCTGGGCCGTGCATAACAGCAGCATTTCATGATGTGAAATGAACCCTGCACAGATACAGAGCATTTTACAAGCCCTGCCGCCAGCAGGGAGGCCAAGAACAATCTTAGGCTGTGTGACTTTGGGTTACACTATGGATTCATGAAATGCTACATCTGGAAGGGGTGTCTGAGATTTTCTAGTCTAGTTTCCTCATGTTATTGATAAGGGGAGCTGGGGCCCAGAGAGGGGATGTAACATAACTGAAGTCACACAGCTAATTAATTAGTGGCAAAGCTGCATCTAGACCCAAGGCATTCTGACTCCTGCAATAGCTTTCATTCCACAATAGCATCCTGCTTCTCATTGAACTATGCTTCAGTTTCCTTATGGGTCTGAATGAGAATCTCAACATGGGGATGAGCCTTGGTAAGGTCATGCCCTCTCCTTGTGCATCAGTCTCCTCATCTGTAAGATGAGAGGGTTGGATTCTCTTCCAGTTAGAAATCCTATGATTATCCTCCTTTCCTTCACAAGGATAAGATAAGATGATTGAAATGAAAGTACTTTGAAAGGTCTGATGCCCAAGCAGGGAGGCTGTTGGCACTGTGGGGCAGTCTCTGCCCACATAAGAGAATTACCAGTCACACTGGGCTTTGTACTGTTTGCTGGCGTTTGAGTGTGTAGAAGCCCTTTTTCTTTGAGCTCACAGGGAATGCCAGCCCAAACCGCCACAGCATCTCCTCCCACAGTGTGAACTATTCAGTCAGCTATCCTGGCTCATCTCAGCAACCATGAAAGCATGAAGCTGTTGGGTGAGAGACATGCTGAATCAACAAACAACAAATACTTATTAAACATTCTTATGTGTGAGATGCTAAGCTGGGTCCTAAATGAATGAATGAATGAAAAGAGCATTTATTAAGTGCTTACTATGCCCCAAGTACTGTGCTTTGTCCTTTGGATGCAAATAGAAATTTGAGACAGCCCCTCCTCTGAAAGGGCTCATACTAACTGGGGGAGACGATACAAGAGGGTTCAGATGCAGAGTGGGATGAAAAGGGCCAAGAGTCCTTGAGTGTCTAGCAACACTGTGAATGGCAAGGTCCAGGAGTCCTTAGGATATGTCAGCAGGTCAGATGGCAATGCTCAGCAGTCTGGAGGGAATAGAAGCAAAACAGAGAATGAGGACTCGATGACAAGGCAGATGGTAAGGCTTGGAGATCCTCCATCTGACTGAAAGGATTGTAGTTATCCAAATGGTGTGAGCAGCCATGTGTGCTCCACAGGTTGGAGCCTTGCCTGCCACCATTCAGAAGGGGTGAGTGGGCCTCAGGTTCTGGGTGGAAAAGGGATTCTGGGATCCCTTTCACAGGTATGGGAGGGGGAGGGGGTCAGTGTCCAACCAAAAAGGGGAATGGGGCATTGACAGGAGAGAAGAGTACCCCATGGCACTTTCTCTACCAGGTTCTCCAACAGGTTAATGGGCTAGAGGATAGGGAAACCCCTCCACCACCATCACTGCTGACAGGGTAAGGATACAAAGATAGATATAGCACAAGCTCTGTCCTTAAGACACTTATAGTTTATTGGGGGAGGTGGGAGGAGAAACATGTGTCAAAATAGTTCATATTTCAATATTAAAAAACTCTGTGATTTATCAATGACACAAGGGTGAATTCCTCCTGGCCTTAGTAGAGAGCTCCATGAGTTTCTATTGGCCAAACATTCAGCCTAGTCAACCTAGTGATGAACTCTCTATGTTTAGCAAGGTTGTTATTCAGATGACAGACATATAATCTGTTGCTAGGCTCACCACTGAAAGCTTTATGGCCTTGGTAGAATTTTCCAGAACATGTGTTCTACTGGCAGATCCTTAACTAGCTGCAACTGTGCCAGTGGAAAATACATTTGGGGGAAGGCAGGTGTGGCAATGATAAAGACCTGCAAGTGCAGTTGTATTTGGAGAGGAGTAGACCTTCCTCCAGAAAGACCTGCCGTTGCTCCAGAGTTACAGAAGGTGGACCCAGGAGAAGGGCACCATAACATAAGACCCTGCAGTGGTAACCCAGGGCTGGTTGTCCCATGCATTGCCACAATTCAGAGAAAGCTATTAGAAATGGCAATCCTTCAGGGAGAAAATATATCTCCCCTCCAACGCAGATGTTGGCACCCTGAAACAAAGTTCCATTTGCTCCATACTAGCTGGCCTTTGAGATCCCAGGGTCTTCACAAGGGAGCTTTATAGGAGGACTATGATATAATTGTATTACAATGATATCTCTTCCCAGTGAAGGAATGGCAAAGACCCTGCCTTACATTCCTCTGGGCAGCCTGGCTCACCTTCCTGCTCAATCCAGCCCACATCTCTTCTTAACTCTAGCTCTGAGCAGAGACAACAACAGAAGCCTTCATTCATTGCTTCTAGTACCTACTGCTCCATTACACAGTCTGGAATCTGATTCTTGCTACCCTCCCCCCTGCACCTTTTCTTGTCTCCTAGTATCTGGCTCTGATTCCCAGTGATGAGTCACTTTGTTCTGGCTCTGACCTCTGCCATCTGGCCATTCATTGTCTGCAACCCTGACATCCTATTCTTGGGTTTCAATTCCAATGACCTGGTTCCTCTACTCCTGGGGCCTGAGAATTTTATTCTTGACTTTCATTGGGGTCTATGGTCCCCATTCACTAATATCTTGAGGCCCAGTGTTGTCTCACCATACCACCTCTTCCTGGTATGTGTTTATGTCTGCTGAAGAATTAGGATCATAGGATTTGAAGTTAGAAGATTGAGCTAATATAGTGTAATTTTACATATAAGGAAACTGAGGAGTGAATTCCCAAGGTTACATAAGGATTAAGTGGCAGAGCTGGGATTTGAACCCAGGTTCTCTGATTCCAAATTCAGTGGCCTTTCCCATTCATCATGTTACCTCCTGGCCAGCTCCTTGGAGCATTTCCTACTTGTTCATCAATCCATCCCTTTTCCAAATTCTCAAACTCCATACCCAGTCTGCGCCCCTTGAATCCATTTCTGACTATGCCCTTTGGCCTGGTTCAAACCTCAGCTATGGGACCTGGCCTCCCTTCCTGGACCTCATGGTCCAGCCCACTTCCTGACTTGCCTGACTTGTATTATATACACTCTACATTCTCGATGATCTTCATAGCTAAGTGGGTCCCTTCCCCAGACTGAACCTTGATGTCTGCCAACTTCACTGGCTTACCTTAGCCCCAATCCCCTTTCCATACCCTTGTGTCTTAGTTAAGGTCCCAACATTGATTATCGTAGACCCTGCCATAGTCTGAAACCTGGTGTTGGCCCCAGATCAAGTATTCTTATGGCATTTTGTTGTTTATCCTTTGTTTTCAAAGAGGACCAATGACATCAAGGGGTTATTCTTGACTTGCACATGAATTGGATTCCAGTGAGGCAGAGTTGTATACTTGTCAGCTTATTCTCCCTGAGTCATCTGAGGTCTAATGGCAAAACAAAAGTCAAGACGACTGGTGATGTCCTGGGATGCAGTGGATGACTTTGGCATTTTTGATGCTTGACCAGGATCTAAGTGTTCCACAGTACCTGTTTTATCTGCTTTCAGGGGAAGTCTTCACATGTGTTGGTATTGGTATTTGTGGTATTGGAATTTTATTAGCATGTTCAGTGGGACTTGGTTCTAGAATCAGCTAATTTAGCTCATAGATGATTTCTTTCAAAGGAAAAGAGGACTTTAGCTCACCTTGTGGCAGGATCCACTGTGCACTCAATGGCCCATAGTCTTTGACACTCTGGCTTGATTTTCAGCTTTCTGAGCCAGGACCCTTTCTAACAAGGGCATGCAAACTCCACCCTTCTCCACAGATTTACACATTTCATTCTCCTCCATCTAATGTAGCCTCTCTGTAGTACAAGTTCATGCATGGATATTCAGATTCCAAAAGGCTAAATGTGTGATAAACAATGTCTGTTACATGTGGGCTTCTGAGAATGATAGTGACTGGAATTTCTATAGCACTTTTCATGTATATCTCATTTCATCATCATAACAACCCTATGAGGCATGTGCTATTGTTATTCCCATTCTGTAGAAGAGGAAACTGAGACTCCAAGAAATTGTGTGTTGCCAAGGGTTACACAGCTATTAAGTATCTAAGCCAGAATTTGAACCCAGGCCTTCCTGACACTTAAGTCCAATGCTCTATCACTGTGCCATAGTGCCCCTGTACTCACATTATTGAGATCCCTGAAATTCATATTCATAGAATCAAATAATCCCAGTGGGATATTAGAAGGCATCTATTCCAATCCCTCTTTATCATCCCCAATAAGCAGTCATCTGCCTAAAGACCTCCAGTGTTGGAGGCCTTATATCCACCTTTTAGATAGTTAACTCCATATTAAAAATTCCCACCCCCAAACCCCCATTCCTGTCTGAAGTCAGGAAGAGTGGCTAGCTCACTAGAAATTACATGGTGTCAAGGATGGGGTATGGGTTATGGAAAGAGTTTAGCACCATTCATTAGAGATGCCTAGTATTAGTTCAGTCCATGGGACACAGATTATAGGGATGATTATAAAAGCCAAGTCATCAGTGTTCCATACAAGTGATATAGGTAAGACTGTCAGGAGAGTACATGGTTCAGAGAGGTCAGCATTTAAGGGTAGGAACACTGTGAATGAGAACCAAGTGTGTGTTGTCAAGAGAAGGATCAGGAAGAGACTAGGACCCTAGACAGCTCTTGCTGGGCTCTCTTTCAGCCCTGACAATGGGCTTTTTACCAAACCACAAGTTTTTTTTTCTTTGATGTTTTTAGCATTATTTTTGAGAGACAGTGTGGCATAGTGGCTCGAGGGCTGGCCTTGGAATCAGGAAGACTTGGGTTCAAATATGGCTTATGACAGAAGTTAGAAGTTATTTTCTAACCACAGCTGGACCCATAATGGCTGTGTGACCTGCAAATCATTTAACCACTTAGAGTGTTAGGTAACTCTCTAAGGCTCTCTAAGTTGTAGAATAATTACTCATTTACATTGGCATAAAGAGTTTCCTTGCTTCCAGCATAGGGCAGCCCCTTATGTTGGTGAAATCATCGATTCAGACTAAAAAAATTGTTTTATTTTACTGATATTGAATTCATGAGAGAAGCTGTTTCATTATCATTGGCATCATGCCAAGCTTATCCTTATTAGATGCCTATTATGTGCAAGGCACTGTGATGCTAGAAATACAAAGATAGGCTGTCAATCTCGTCATCTCTGATGGCCTTCATTTTCATTCCATTTTAGCCATATCCCAGGACAGCTATATCTTCTACCTCATCATCCCTCAGATCTTGGTCTCAGAGGACACAACTAGAAACAGTGGATGAAGTTAAAGAGAGGCAGATTTATGCTGATATAATGAAAAACTTGTGACCTATTAGAGCTAAGTGGAATGAACTGTTTCATATGGTGCTAAGTTCCCCATCACTATAAATCTTCAAGAGAATTTGAAGGTCACTTGTTGGATGTTGTAAAGGGAATGCCTACTTAGGTCCTGATTGGAGTAGGTAACCTCTGAGGTCCCTTTCAACTCTGAGATACTGTGATCTGCAATTTTGAGCTGAGCTCCAGGTCTCTCTGAGAACAGCATCCTTACCTTCTATTTCTTTTACTCGTCCACACTACCAAGCTGTTTCTTTATCCTTTTCATGAGACCTGTTTCTTCTCACATGCCTACCTACCAAATCTAGACCTCATGCTGAGTCATCTTAAAGTGCTTTTCTTTATTGTTATAGTTCAGTCATGCCCAACTCTTCATGACCCTGCTTGGGGTTTTCTTGGCAAAGGTACTGGAGTGATTTGCCATTTCCTTCTCTAGCTCATTTTATAGATGAGAAAACTGAGGCACTCCGGGATAAGTGACTTGCCCAGGGTCACATGGCTAGTAAGTGTCTGAGCCTGGATTTAAACTCAGGAACATGAGTCTTCCTGATTCCAGGCCTGGCACTCTATCCACTGTACCACCTAGCTGACCTCACACTTACTTAGATGACTGTAAAGTCCAATTCAACAAGCATTTATTAAGTGCCTACTTATGAGAGAGAGGTAATATAGTATAGTCAATGAAGCACTGACCTTAAAGCCAAGAAGACCTAGATTCAAATCCTGCCTCTGACATTACTGGCTGTTTGACACTGGACAAATCACCTAACCTATCAGTGGTTCATGAACCTCTCTAAGACTATGAGTTGCTGAGGTGCCAACCAGCATTGTTAGAGGGAGTTTCCTCACTTGGGAGTTCCCTGTGCCTATGAAATCACAGGTTCCATCCCTATATTTTTGTGTTAGGCCCTTGGGATACAAAGATAATAATAACAAAAGATAATAATGAAAAACTCCTCCAAGTCCCTGCCTTGGAGGAGTTTGTAACAGATACATGACACAGATAGCGACAAGATTAGAAACAGAGACTAAGTAGGAGGCATTCACAATAGTCCAGACAAGAGGTAATTGGAACCTAAACTGGGCTGATAGCCCCATATTGGTGGAGAGATATTGAGAGAGAAATGGCAAGACTGGCAACTGATTAGATATAGAGAAAAGCAGGAGAGAAGGAGAATGAAGAGTCAAGGATGATGCCAAGGTTGTAACTAGAAGGATGGTGGTTCCTTCAACAGCAATAGGAAAGGTTGGTGGAGAGGTGGGTTTTTGAGGAAAGATAATGGATGTTGAGTTTGAGGTGCTACTGGGACATCCAAGTGGAGCTGTCCAGCAGGGAGTTGGTGTTATGGAACTGAGGATCAAAGAAGAGATTAAGAACACACACACACACACACACACACACACGCATGCGCACGTGGAAGCAATTTGCATAATTAATAATAATTGAATCCATGAGAGCTAGATCATCAGGAGAGATGACGGAGACAGAGAATAGTACAGGGCTCTAGACAAAGTTTTGGGGACGGCCAAGGTCAGGGAATGGAAACTGATAATGATTCAGTAAAGAATACTAAGGAGAATTTGGAAAATTAGGAAAAGAACCAAGGGAGAGTAATATCATGGATTTCAAGGGAAGAGAGTATCCATCAGGAAGAGGGAGTTTTCAACAATGTCTAAAGCAGCAGAGAGGTCAAGAAGTTCCTTTCTAATTTTTCTCTGATTGCTGAAGTCAGGGACCATTTCATAAATATCTCATATCACTGATTGCCGAACATGAGATTTGATAAATAAAAATCAAATTGTAAAAATTTACTAATTACCTATTGTGTGCTAGGAATGCAGTTGGTGCTCAAAAGCATGTTGACTTAATTCACCTTTTAAATGTGATGCCAGAGCACAGAACAGAGTGCCTTATTTTGTGTTCCTTAAAGTGTTTCAAGACTCAAAAATCCATAAATTTCTCTTCTTCTCCCTTAGCTGCACATTGCTGGGGCCAATGGATTCCTTCATGCAGCTGAGCTTCTTCTTGACCAGGGAGTACGAGTGGATGTCAAGGACTGGGATGGCTGGGAGCCTCTCCATGCAGCTGCCTTCTGGGGCCAGGTACATCCTTCAACCCTCTTGGCTGCCTGGTGGGAGTGGGTGGCACCTCATGGCAGAACTTTGGGTATCAGGGGTTTGCAAGGTTTTCCTGCCTGGAGTTGATGCCCATGGACTCCCAGACCTCTAGTAGTAAACAGCATGTATGACATATACCAAACATAATTGGCAGACTGACTTCTCCAAACATATCCCATACCCCTCAGTGGCAATAAAGATCTGTAGGGCAACCTTCTCATTCCCACCCCCCATCCTGCATCCCCAAAATATGGTGACTCCTTCCCTGGTTACAGCCTTTTTCTCACTCTGGAGTTAGCACTCAGCATTTAATAGAGTAATAGTTCTCACACTCTTTGGTCTCAGGAGCCCTTTGCACTCTGAAAAATCATTGAAGCCTCCCCTGTCCCCAGCTTTTGTTTTTGTGGGTTGTATCTATTGATATTTACTATATTAAAAATTAAAACATCTTAGTATTATTATGAAAATAGCTTTGACTTCAAGAATACCCTGAAGGACATATTTATCACATTAAGGAATCTTATTATGTATTACTATGAAGATATGAAAATAGTTTTGGCTGCAAGGATGCACTGAAAGAGTCTCAGAGAGCCCCATGGGCCCCCAGATCACACTTTCAGAACTGTTGTTCTAGAAGAACAGGGTCCAGAATAGTGTAGTAGAAAGAGCACTGGACTCAGAAGACCTGGGTTCAAATTCTGAGTCTATTACTTATTATCTGTGGGACTAGATAAATAATTTTACCTCTCTGGGCCTCAGTTTCTTCAAATGTAAAATGAAGATATTGAATTAAATTGAGGTGGCATAGTATAGTTGATAGAGCACTGGACTTGGAGTCAGAAAGACCAAATCCTTCCTCAGACCTTTACTAGCTGTGTGACCCTGCACAAGATACTTAACTTCCTTGTGCCTCAGTTTCCTCATCTGTAAAATAAGAAGGCTGGACTTGATGGTCTCTAAGTTCCCTTCTAGCTCTAAGTCTATATAGTTCCATGAAATTATCTCTAGTTTTTAGGACCCTTTTGCCTCTAGATTTTATGAATCTGGGCATCCTACTTTTAGAAAGATGCCAACCCCAGCTGTAACAGAACAAATTCTGTTCTAGATCCTAATAGGCCCTCTATCTGCATCTGTTCCACTGAAGCTCCTTGGGGTCATCTAGGAAGTAACTATAAATCCCTAGAGTACCTGCCTTTCTTTGTTGGACTTTGGCTAGAATGGATCTGGTTACAAATAGTATAATAGAATTTAGAGCTGGAAGGTAACTTACAGAGGACCTAGTCCAGCCTCCTCTAGGCCCAGAGAACAATGACTTGACTTATGTTTACACAGGTAGCAATTAGAGCCAGAATTTGAGCCCAAGTCCTCTGACTCCAGAAATAAGTCTTTCTACTACAAGAGGGCCATCTTGGCTAGCTAAGGGTGGGTGGCAGTTTAGGGAGAATTTGAAGGTTTACATAAAGAATGACCACCCTAGGCCCCACCCCCTACCTCTGACACTATCTGTCCTGGTACCTGAAATTCTGCTATTAGTTTATTCCTTTGAATTAAGCCGTGTGCCTTCCTTGAATGCTTGTTTAAAATGCATGTATCCCCAGGCAGAAAAGGGAGATAAGATGTTTTCTTGAGGGGGACAAGTTCTGGTCACAGTGTCATTGTAAAGCCACCCTGGATCCCAGGTGCCCAGGATTTTGCCCCGTGGCCCTTGGTCAAGCTCCTTGGAATTTGATGTCAATGGCTTTGTCTCGTTGTTTCAGATGCAGATGGCGGAGCTGCTGGTGTCCCATGGAGCCAGTCTCAGTGCTCGGACATCCATGGATGAGATGCCAATAGGTCAGATTTTCTAGCTCTTCTCTTTCTTTCATTCTGCAATCATGTGGGCTCTTCCCCCCCCTCCTTTAAACACTGTCAGTTCTGGAGGGTGCTGGTTTACTCCTTCCTCTCTGTATCCTAGTAACAATAAAACTGAAATCATAGGATTTGGAACCAGAAGGGACCTTAAGGATTATTTAGTTCAATTCCCTCATTTTATAGATGAAGAACCAGGAAAGGCTAAGAAACTTAGGTCACACAAGTAACTTTTTTGGGATTTGAACTCAGGCTTTTCTGACTCCACAACTAATGTTCTTTCCATTATATCAAACTACCTCTAAAACAATGATAGCTGGCATTTCTATATCATTTATGATTTACAAAACCCTTTATATCTAAAGGAGGGAGGGAAAGAAAGAAAACAAACAAAACATAACACAATTTATCTATATGATCTCATTTCATAACAACAACTTATGAGGTTGGTATTATAAATATATAAAGAAGCTATGTGAGTTGCATAGGGTCACACAGCTAGGGTGGTAGAGTTAAGATTTGAATCAAGATCTTACGCCTCTAAATCCAAGGTTCTTTCAATGCTACCTCCTTGCTTCTGGCTATTTATTGCCTTGGTCCTTTGCCTCCTATCACCACACACCTTTTAGACTGGGTTCTTTTTCGTCCCAAGAAATGAGACTAGCCTTCTTCCTTTTGTGCTGGTCAGTCATTTTTCAGTTGTGTCTGACTCTTTGTGGATCCATTTGGGGTTTTCTTGGCAAAGATACTGAAGTGGTTTGCCATTTCCTTCTCCAGCTCATTTTACAGATGAGGGAACTGAGGCAAACAGGATTACGTGACTTGCCCAGGGTCACACAGCTATGAAGTGTCCGAGGCCTGCTTTAAACTTAGGAAGAAGTCTTTCTGACTCCAGGCCCAGTGCTACCTATCTGCTGTGGCCCCTTTCCTTTGTAACCCCTAACAAAGCTGCCAGGATGCCAGGCCTTTCCCTGCCTGTCTCTTTCCCTGAGAAGGTCAGGCTCCTTGTGTAGGAATTGATTCTGACTTTGTGCTGGGTTGTCTGCCTCACTGCTGTCACACCTTCCTTTCATCTGGGCAAATGGTCCTCAGCCCCCTGAAGCCCATCCCTTGTGCCCAACCTGACTCTCCCTGGTTTTTCTGCTTTAGACCTATGTGAGGAGGAGGAGTTCAAGGTGTTGCTGTTGGAGCTGAAGCACAAACATGATGTGATCATGAAGTCCCAGCTGAGGCACAAGTCTTCACTGAGTCGGCGCACATCCAGCGCAGGGAGTCGGGGGTGAGTAGGGCCCTGATTGGGCACAGCCAAGGCGGTCTATGGGGGTCCGTACCCATCATCCTGCCCCCCAGCATCTGAGGGTCAGAGACGTTCTCTCTCTCCTCAGGAAGGTGGTAAGAAGGGCAAGCCTGTCAGACAGGACCAACTTGTACCGGAAGGAGTATGAGGAGGAAGCCATCGTGTGGCAGCAGAGGGCCTCAGCAGAGGAGCAGAGAAACTCCATCTACAACGGGGAAGTCAGAGAGACCCGTTCTGATCAGGAGAACAAGGACCCGGTAAGGAGAACTGTCCTGGAGGCTTCAGGTTAGATGGGACCCTCACCCAGGGCAGAGATTCCCTCTAGTTCTATTCCTAATTGTTGTTTTTAACACTTCCAGTTGTGGGGAGCTTATTACCTCATGAAAACAATACCACGGTTAGAGGGTTAGATTGTATTCTATTGAGAGAAAAATCTAACTCCTTGTTAACTTCCACCCAATGGTCCTGGTTCTTTCCCCTGTAGAAGAACTACTCAGAACAACCTGAATTCCTTTTCATCAGTTCACTGCTCCCATGGTTTCTTTTCTAATTTTCTTTCAAAAGCTAATTGGTGTGGCTAAGAGATAGAAAGTAAGAGTTAAATGATGAAAGATGAAGAGTGAAGGATGGAGGGTGAAAATAGAAGATGAGGGTGAGAGTGAGGGATGGAGAATCAGGGTGAGAAGTGGATGATGGATAAGGATGACTAGCGAGGAATGGAAGGTGAGAGTGAGGGACAGAAAGAAGATAAAAAAGAGAATAAAGGGGTAAGGTCATGAAGATTAAAGAGGAAAGAACAGGGCAAAGTATAGAGAATTAGGGTTCTAGAAGGTAAGGGGGGAGGGGGAATACGGAAAGTCAGAATGAGAGAGGGAGAGTAATAGGGATAAATGAATGAATGAATAAGAAACCATTTATTAAGCACTTACTGAGTCAAGTACTAGGGATACAAATTGAAAAGGGAGACAATCCCTCCTGTACTCACGGACCTTACAGCTTAACAGGGGTAAATGACACATAACATATATAGAGCAGTGGTGGCTAGGTGAGGGTATTTTGGTCTGGGAAGACAAAAGGGATGGTGAGTAGGGATGCCATAGGGATTCAATTGACATACCCTTCCCAGAAGTTATAGAAATACTGATTTGACTATTATTCCCAGAATAAGTGGTAAAAAGTTGTGAGAGGCAGGGTATGTGGGCATGATGGCATGTCTAGAACATGGCCTGGGTGTTGCATGGTCAAGGGTCAAGAGATAGCTGTATATAGTGTTCTATGAAAAACAAATGGAGGGTAAAAATGAGAATGTGGGCCTAGACTTGAGGCTGATGAAGGCCTGGTTTGAGCTGTTTAATAGGCATGTATCAGCCTATGGTAAAATTGAAGGCATTTGAGATAGGCAGTGTAGAATAATGACTGCTTGTCTCAGATGGAAGATGGATTCCTTCCTACGCTGATTTCAGTGATCATCAGCTCCAGGATTTTGTTGGAGGAATTGGGAAGGGTGTAGGGGACAGGGAGTCTTCACAAGGCATATGGTCATTCAGGGAGTCTGCATAGGTAGGATAATATAAACCTGTAAAAACTAAGCATTGAGAAAGGAAATATGTCTCCTGGCTTTGGTTAGCCTGGTTAGTTTGGTAGGACACAGACCTACACAGCAATGTGGAAGAAAGGTATGCAAATGCAGGAGGATAGTGCCCCCTGCTGTCTGCCCTACAATATGGCTTCACTAGGTACCAGGCTATTCTTTTTCCTCTTTTTAATCCATATGCTCTTCCCAAATTGATTTGTCCATGCAGCACTTTGGGTCTTGAAATACAAGGTGTCCTAAAAGTCTTGGTACCATTTAAGCTTGTTAAAGCTTAAATGGCACCAAGACATTTGGGATATCCTATATATCAATGGAAAACAAATGTTTGTCTGTGGAGATTGAGGATAGGGAACGCTTCTGAGATAAAAAAAAAAGGCTTCAGAGAATTTTGGACCAAAATAAGGGAAATTAAGGCCATTTTTCTTTGGTGAGGGAGGAAGCAAAATGTAATAAGCATTTTTGGTATACCTAATTTCATATTTAATATCCTAGGAGGGAAAATATTGCTAGCATTGAAAATTTTCTTATAGAAATCCTAGTTCTCTCATTAGTTCTGTCTCACTGAGGTTGGGTGGAATAATACAGTTTGGAAAATGCTGCTATTTGTTGTTTCTGAAAGAGATATGTGTTAACCAGTTTTTAATTTTTTATCATGGAACATCTGAGATTTCATTGGCCTGGGTACTTCCTCTGTCAATGTTAATGGCAATGTCTCCATATCCATGTGTTCCCATGACCCTTCTTTAGAAGATCCACCCTTGGACTAAACATTTTCAAATTGAATCTTTTTTTTCCCCTTTGGATTCAACCTGTGATTTCATTGACATAGGGGATTCCCCCAGAGGAATGGACTCTTACCAATGCACATCAGCACTTCTATCTGCAATCTATGGTCCTAGAGAGTTGCCTGGGGCACTAAGAGGTTAAGTGAGTTGCACTAAGTCACACAAGCTAAGTGTGTCAGAGGAGACTTAAACCCAAGATTTCTGTCTTTCTGGCTTTCTACCTCCTATGCCAGGTCAAATCACATTTGACAAAAATGAGTAAGGTTGGGGCAGCTAGGTGGCACAGTAGATAGAGCTCTGGCCTTGAAGTCAAGAGGACCTGAGTTCAAATCTGGCCTCAGACACATGACACTTACTAGCTGTGTGACCCTGGGCAAGTCACTTAACCCCGATTACCTCACAAAAAAAAGAAAAAGAAAAAGAAATGAGTAAGGTCATAAGATCATAAATTTAGAGCTAGAAGAGACCTTAAGGATCATCTAATCCAAGGTTCCCAAAGTATGGTCTGAGGATTCCTGAGGATCCCCAAGAGCCTTTCAAGTAGTCCTTGAGGTCAAAATTATTTTCATTATAGTACTAAGAGTGTGTTAAGATAATCCTCTCTTTTCCAACTACTTATCTGTGTGAGGCTAGATTTTCTTCATATACTTCAATCAAAATAACATATCACAACCAATTGAATACAGAAGCATATTTAAGAATCCAGTTGTCTTCTAATAAGTCAGACATTAAAGAGATTTACAAAATATGAAAAACAATGCACCTTTTGTCACTAAACTTTTTTGTTTTGGAAAATTTGTTATTTTTCATGAAAATATTTATGTTAACTTGCAATGGGGTTATTTTTAAATGAATTAATATTTATAAATATATACATTTGCACTTCTAATATGGTAAGTATTGATAGCTATAGCCCACATAAATAAAAGTTATTTTTGAGAGTGTAAGCATTCCTGAAACCAAAAAAAGTTGAAAATGTTAACCCCTTAATAGTACTCCTAGTACAACCCCTTAATATTACAGATGAAGAAACTGAGCCAGAGAGATTATGTGATGTGTACAACGTCACACGCTGGCAAAGCGGCAAAGTTGGAATCTGAGCCCAGGTCCTCCACTATCCAATGCCCATTCCACTAACCCACATGAGGAGTCTATTTCAGCCTGACCATCTGGCATTTCTTATTATTTGTCAGTTTGTTCCAAGGTAACATTAGAGGAATTAACTGATTTCAACTAAATTTTAAATAAAACAAGAGGGTTTAATCACAAAATTTGTGAGCTGGGGGGAATTTCTTAGATCATCTGGTTCAATCCCTCATCTTATTGGTGAGGAAATTGAGGCCCAAACAAATCAAGTGATTTGCTTAAAGTCATAGCATTAGTATGTCAGGAAGTTAGGATTCAGACCCAGCTCTCTGGAATTCTGCTTTAATATTCTTTCCACTTCACCAGCCCACAGTTTTAAAATTGATTTGTAGTTCAATTGCTGCCTTGAAACAAAATGACAATTGATAGTTTTTGAATGGGCAGGTCTTCTATCATTTTAATGAATTTTCAGTAGTTTCCATAATATTTGGTCTTCAGGTAGAAGTGACCAGATAAATAGCCCTGAGTGAGATCTGTAGTTCTCTTAATTGATTCAGGACCACTTGCTTTATAAAGAACTTGTGATTGGACAGTCTGACATGGGGAAAGCACAGCATGCTAGAAGTCAAAGGACCTGGGTGCAAAATCTCGGCACTGCCATTTACTCTCTGTGACAGCTTCAGCAAATCACTTCCTCTGGGCCTCTGTTTCCTCTTCTTTAAGACAATGGAGCTGGACTAGAGGAGTTCTGAGGGGCCTTCTAGCACCAGGTCCTGTGATGAATCAATTTACAAAGTGAAGAGTCCTTCTCTAAAGCACAGAATTGTCTCCTAATTTGGCTGTTTATTAAATTTGCTTTTGAATTGACTAAAACCTGAGGTGGTCACAGAGTTGGGCAATCACTCAGAACCTAAAGAACCACCTGGACTCTGTTCCCTGGGGAGTTTTGTGATTAGAGAGTTTTCCTACAGATATCCATGGGTTTGGAGAGCCCTATGCTGAGCCTCTCTGACTTAAAGGGAAGCAAAGATCTTCTGATAGCCCTGTCTTACTTTTAGATGTCAATCCCCATCATTTAACACAGTGCTTTGCATATCATAAGGACTTAATAAATTCTTTCATTAATTTATTCATTCATTCACTGTATGGCGGGAGCAATGGTAGAGTTAAAATCCCATTTTGTTCAAAGTCCTTTCAGAGTTGGATGATACTAATTGGTAACTTTCCTCCCTTGTTCACAGAACACTATACTGGAAAAGCCCTTGCTTCTTTCTGAATTTATGACCAAGAGCACATTGGGGAACACAGACCTGCCCATGCAGAATGGCCTCCGGGGTCCAGTCAGCCCTTACCCATACTCATTGTCTAATGGGGACATGTCCATCCAGAATGGACTCCGGTCTCCAGCTACCACCCACCAATACTCTCTTGCCAATGGTGACATCTGGAAGGTGCATGAAGTCCCGGACTACACCCTGAGTGCATCTCTTCCCTATGGTAGCCCCGGCCTTCATGACATGCCACAGCCCTGGAATGTGTACAAGGAGCCCAGCCACCAGACGCTGTCAGAGCTGAAGCGGCAGAGGGCAGCTGCCAAGCTCCTCAGCCACCCCTTTCTAAACCCCCACCTAGGTGGTGGGGTGACTGGGGTGGGTGAGGGCAGCAGTGAGAGCAAGACCCCCCTGATTGGAACGAGAACTTCTCCTTACAGTGCCAATGGGACTTCTGTATATTACACAGTAGCCAGTGGGGACCCTCCTCTGCTAAAGTTCAAGGCCCCAATGGAGGAGATGGAGGAGAAAGTTCGAGGCTGTTGCCGAATTTCTTAGACCTGCTGCAGCCATGCCCCTGGACTCAGGAAGGAGAAGGACCTGGTCATGGCCAAGGCATGGAGCATTCCTGAGCCTGGCCTGGTGCGAGTACCTGAGGGGCAGCCATGTGGGATGGAGAGTAGATAAAATGAGGCCAATTCTCATTTTCAGAGAGGAAGATTTTTCCAGAGTTGTCCTAAATCCTGGTGTCACTCTGAACTGCCCACCCCTGAGAGCTTACCTTGTACTATACTTATCACCATTCTGAATGAAGAATACCAGTTATTAGCCTCATGCAAGTGACTACCAGATATCTGAAATGTGATGTGAGGAATCCTGCTCTGCTCTTGTGAAGTACTTGCCAGCCCTAGTGTTCAAACTCCTACATGCCTCGCACATGCATATGTGTACACACACACACATCACTTGTGGCCCCATTTGTGCCAAAGACCAAGGTGGATGGCTGTAAATAGGAAGGTGCATGTCCAGCTTGGCCCTGAGAATGTAGCTGTTCACTTGCTTAAGTGAGTAACCGGTGTTGACACAGGCTGTGTGTGGGACAGCAGCAGAATGTCTGTGGTGTGAGGTGCTTTCCAAACCACTGCTCAAGACCCATGGCTGGAGTGAGGTCCAACTCCAGACTTTGGCAAGGCCCCAGCCATGGCTAACTCTGTGGTTATGTTCAGCAGGGGTGGCTGAGGGTATTTATGCCTCTTGGGGTCTCCCTAGAAATATCCCTTCATAGAATCAAAGCAAGAACCCTGAGTCATCTTGAAGTTGGAGGCTAACAGCGCCTGATCCAGCACCACACACATAGTAGACACTCAGTGTTTGTTGAGTAAATAGATGAATGACCAGTTTCATAGTCCCGATCAGTGTCTACTGGCACCAGGGGCTCTTTTCCGTGTATTGTTCCAAGGGAGGTGAGAATCCTTGAGGGTGAGATGACAGAAATTGTCCAGAGAAGCTTCCCTGTCAATCCCACTAAGATAATGCTTTCCTCTGCAGGATGTGGTCCCCAGGAGAGTTCAGTGTCAGAGATAACAAATCAAGTTGCTCCAATCTCATTTGATTTTTAAAACTTCACATAGAATTTTGCCAGTTATCTCCACAAAGTCAATGTTTTAAAAGGAAAAAAATCTTTCAAGACTACTAAAAGTCAAGGGGGAAATCACATTTGTCTGCAGTCAAGGAGATTCTCATATTGGCTCCTGTCTGCCAAGGGCTGCATATGGTATTTAGAAAAGGCCCAATTGTGTAAGGGAAAGATCTCTGAATTTTCTCTTTGAGCACCTGAGTTCCATTTATGGCTCTACTGCTTACTAGCTGTGCAAACTTGGGCAGGTCAGTTAAGTTCTCTGGACCTGGTTCTTCATTTATAAAATGAGTGAGATGACTAACTGATCTCTAAGATTCCCTCTAGCTCATGACACTTGGATCTCATGAAACCCAGAGACCAACCAGTTTTTGGTTACTGAGTTATCTGCCTCTCAACACTCCAGCCTAGGGAAATAGGAGCTTGTATTGCCAATTTATGAAAACACCACTGTAGGAGTGAAATTTAGCTTAAAGCACATAACTAATCCCTGTAGTGTTTAAAATGGACAAGTGCTAATGTCCCCGGCCCTTCAGGTGCTGGTAACAAAAGTAGGGTCCCAGGTTGGGGTAAGTAGTCAATGTAAGATTCTGAAATGCTTTCACTGCCTCCCAAGCACATCCAGCTTTATTTTTGTGCCTATGTCTTGTGGGTACAGAGCTTCCTTTCTGGCCAAGTGCAGGCACAGGATATGGAGGGTGACGGGGCTTCACCTCAAGGCATAGACAGTCACTGGTGTGCACTGATGGAGCCCCTGTCAGGACTGGTAATGCTCCTCCCAGCAGAAAGCATTCGGTTCCCATTGAAGGTGACAGGAGGTGGGCAGGAGGCAAGCACAGTGCATATGACTGACAAGGCCGTTTATTCAGTGGCGAAGCATGCAGGAAGGCAGTTATAGGACTGGAGTTTCTGGCCTGCCTGGGCTTCACAAGCAGAGGGAAATCACTCCAACATCATTTCCACAATCCATCCAGACCAGGATTCTTTCTCTGATAGGAGCCATCAAGGGTCAATTGCTCCCAGAGAACTCAAATTTTCAGCTTAGCCCATTATGACTACCATCATGAATTTATTTGCTCCTGGAGGGGGGAGCTGTATATTCAGCCTCAATCACCTCTTGGAGGTAGGGGAACAATGAATTTCACATATTTCCTAAGCAGGACAAGTTTTTCATTTGTCCTAAAACTACCTCTTTTCAGCTCCATGGAGATGCCCGAGTTCTAGTTTCCAGGGTTTGGGGAACAAGGGCATGTTTATCCCTTTCTACCTCCCCCTTTCTATAAGTTAGAGTGATCCAAAGGTGGAATTGGCTGCCCCAGGAGGTGGTAGGGTTCTCATTACTGGAGGTGTTGAAGCAAAAGTCACAGAACAACTTGTTGGCAATGTTATACAGTGGAAGCCTCCTTAGCTACAGGCCCTCTGAAGTTCCTTCCAGCTTTGAGGTTCCATAATTTCCTGAGTCAGTGAATAAACTTCTCTGTAAGCTGATGGACTAACATTTTATTAAAGATCCAGGTCAGGGGTGGTGGCAGTGCTTGTCTGTAGTCCCGGCTGCCAGAGAGGCTGAGACTGGTGGAATCATTGCGTTTAGGAGTTCTGTGCCGTAGTGGACTAAGCTTATTGGGTACCTGCATTAAATATAATACCAATATGGTGAGCCTCCTGGAGCAGAGGTCCGCCAGGTTGCCTAAGCATCCCAGGTGAGGAAAAAAAAAGAGGTCAAAATTTCCGTGCTGATTAGAAATGGAATCTATGGTAAGTGGCCAACTGCACTTTTAGTCTGGATAAGACCCAGGCTCAAAAAAAAGCCATTCCAGAGGTGTATAAAAAATATGTGTGCATGTATGCAAACACATCTATTTGTGCAAACACATCTCTGTATGCAGTCCTTACAGGAAACAGTGATGCCTGATAATTTTTACATTGTGTTTTATATGTTAATAGCCTTTTACCATCATGATTTGACTGATTCACACAACCCCAGACAACTCCAGAAGCTAAGACCGTTATCTTTAGGAACCTGAGGCAGAGAAACAAAGATGGAGGTAGAAATAGTGGGCTAGCAAAGGCCTTTCAGAGAGCCAGAGAGCTGGATGGAGAGAACTCAGGGTTTTTGAGATATGATCTGATACCTTGCTACTGTATGAAAGTAGATGGCACCCTGACTCCAGGAGACTAGCTTGGATTGGGTATCTCAGATGAGGACAGGACAAAGAAGATAGCCAAGGGTCCACAGCTGCCCCAGGAGTTGGCATACATGAATAGTTTTACCTTGTTTGTGCTATAGAACAGATGAAGTATAGTGTCATTTTAAGGATCCACATGTTTAGAGGACCAGGGGAAGGGCTAATCAAAAAACCATATACATTTGATTTTGTAACTATATGAATTGCAGACCAGTCCTGAAATCTACTCAGTCCAGACTGGCCTCCATGCTGGGTGGGAAAGTGGCAAGATGTACAGCAGCAAAGAGATAGGAGTTGACCATATCTGACTTCTATTTGTAGCTGCTGACGTGCAGACCTAATGACTTTAGTCCTAAATATGTAGGAACTCTAAGGCATGTCTATCCCATGTGTCCACTTCTAGATTCCCTGGTCTGAGTCCTGTCCAGGGCCTCTCATGTAAGGTGTACCTGCATTTGTAGTGGAGGTTCTCCAAGGGTTTCCTTGGCTCCTGGTCTCCACAGATGAAGCCAACTAGCTTGGAAGAGTTGCAGAAGTCCCTGTGCCTTGATAGGAAAGAGGCTATGACTGAATCTCAAGTGGCAGATTGTGGGGAGCACAGGAAAGGGTCTGCCAGACTAAAGAATTGAGAGAACAATGATCTTACCTACTATATCTACTTTGGGCAGCTATTATGGGTTCTTCTCTAATGTGCCCTTGCAGGGGGTTAAAACTGACTCCCTGAAGTGGAAAAACTCTGAGCTCAGTCATTTCAAGCCAGGGATTAAGGCGTCCTTCTTTCAAGGGCATTAAATATAGGAAATGTACTATTGCAGCTTCTCATATAGCTTTGCCTAGAAGCAGGGGGATGTGATAGAAAAAAGCCAGGTGAGTCAGAGACCCCCCAAGCCTAGTTTTTTTCTTGTGCCTAATCAATGCAAAGCAGAAACCCTTGAACACAATGGAGCCAAACAGGGCCCTATTGTCTCCCTGGCAGCTAGGCAAATCAATAACCAGAGCCTTTCCCTACTGGGGAGATAGGAGCCCACTAACGGGTTCTTGATTAACTTCCTGTTGTAGGGTATACAACAAAGGAACACTGATGTGTTGAAAGAGATAAAAGCTATGGCTGCAGGTGTATGAGGCTTGCCTAACTTTAAATGTGGCCTTATTAAACACCACCCAATGTGTCATCTCAGTTCTGCCCCTGTATGGGAAGCCTCAAGGATTTCTGCACTCATATTGCTGGACTCTTCCAAAATGGAGGACTCATTTGTATTATAGCTGACCAGAGCTGAAGCCCCAGACTCATAGACACCTGGCTGGAGTCAGAATGGCCATCTCTCTCCAGTGTCTCTTTCTCAGATGCTAGAATCAATGTTGAACTAGTCAACACAAGCTTGACATTGCTGCCTCCTAGAGTGGGTTCGGCATGACAGTGTCTGGATCAGAGCAGTATCTAAGAGATCAGCGATGGCAGCCAGCTTGGAAGATGAGTGCAACTTGGAGTCACAAGGACCCGAGTATGAATCCCAGCTCTGACACTACCTGTGGGGCTTTGGGCAAGTCACTTAACCTCTCTAGGCCTCAGTTCCCTCCTCTGTAAAATGAGGCACATGTACTAGATGACCTCAAAGGTCCCTTCCAGCTCTAAAAATAAGATCCTAAATTCTTACTGACACCATCTGCTGCTCTGGTTAACACAAAAGATCGTTGTTTAATATGACTTAGCAGGAAGTTGAACAAAGGTTTCTTCATCTTTGCCGAAGAAATTTCCTGTCTCCTCAAAGAAATCTGACTCCAAAGAAGGATGGAGAAGTTGGACAGTTTACCAGATCCTTCGAAGTTACAGCTCTGGCATCATTATTTACTTTGGATTGTGAATTCCTTCAACATCAGAAACACCCCTATTCAACCATAGGTGCAAAAAAACACCCCAAAGCCAAAAGAGATGTACAGATTATCCAGACTGATAAATATGTGTGTGTTTATACACACAGGACAGTTTGTTTCTTATTCTCAGTTATCTGCTATAAAATGTAAATACCTTGTTTAACATATGTTTATATGTTTATGTTTTGCTTAACATATGTTTATATTTTATAGCAGGTAACTGAGAATTAGAAACAATCTGCTTTTCTCTAACACCCCGTAACCCATCATGTATAAGCTCTCATCTGGCCAGGGGCTAGACTGAGAGAGTTTGTTAAGGTTATAGTCACAGACTACCAGCCACTAAGGCCTCAGGCTTAGTGTCCGATGAACTGTCCATGGAGTCCTAAGTCAATTCCCATGACCTTAGAACGTATTAATAGATTGTAAGCTCCATGAGGGCAGGTACCTCATCTTATTTATCTTTATATCTCCCCCATGCAGTGCTGTGCACATAGTAGATACTTAATAAGCATTTGTTAAATTTGAATTTTGTTTCACAAGAAGAAAAAATAGTGTTGCCAATTGGTTGATCAAAATCAAACAAAATCAATAATTTTAAGCCATAAGATAATTCTTTTTTGTAAATGGGGGCTTTTTTCTTTTTAGTTTGCTATGTGCAAAACTAAAATATATGATTTCCAGATTTCTCCTCCTACTAGATTTGTTGCAGAACATGATGGTATTTTTCAGTGTAGTCCAAGGGCACCCCCCTATAATGCACCAGAAGGGTATCTTCTTTAATTTTTCATCATCTATAATCAAGCAAGCCTATCCCTCCTTTGGCATCCAGTAAGAGTAAGGTCTATGATTAGGCCCCAGTGGGCATCTGAGTATGAGACTGGAGCTACCACACAGACAGTGAAATTAGGTCTGGTTTAGAAACCACAAAGGCCTTTCTACAGGAGTGCAGAGTGCAGCAATGGGCTCCAGGGGTACCAGGTACCCATTGTAGATAGGGATAGTAAGTGGTGTGTAGCAGGGCATAGACCTGAGCATCCAGGATGTGTTTGAAGATACCTAGCCCCCTGCAATAAATAATTCACCAGGCCAGAAGCCACTGATGTATATAAAACACTTAACAAAATGTATTTTATGTGAGAAATGTATGAACACTGTATATTGTATTAGCAACTTTGTGTAAAAAAATTGGTAATCAACAGAGTAATATATTTAAAACATTTTTTAAAGACAACCACCGATCTTTGATGTTGTATGGAGGACTTTGTGCTGTACCTTGAAGTCTAACTGGTGGTTTCTCACTGTATGGAGACAGTGTGTCTGGTCCCCAGGGCACTGTGCATGCCAGATGGGGACCTGTGACAAGAGCAGCTTCTAAATGGCAGTGTCCTTCATAGGACATGAATTTTTTAATTAAAATTATTAAATTTCTTTTAATAATACCTGTCATTATCGCTATTCATTTCAGGGGATGAAGTCTCCTTAGTTTGGCTGAGCTGGATTTGGGAACTCATTGAGGGGAGGGCACTGAGGAACAAATTGGAAGATGGTTGGAGAGAAAGGCCTTCTCACTTTCACTGCTCCCACTCATCCACCCCCACACAATCAGTGACAACTAATAGAACATCTGGTGATTCACACTCAAGTCATTTTTTTAGGCCTCATGGGCCTAAAGTGGGGCTTTGGTGAATTCTAGTGTTTCTTCCTTCCATCGAGGGATAGATGAAAAGCAGCGCAACTCGATTCAACAAACATCAAAGCCTACTATGAGTAAGCTGTGTTAGGAGATGGGGGCACAAAGACAAAACACTACCTCATCCTTAAAAGCTTACATTTTACTTGTCAACTTAGCTGCTCTGTCCACCTAGAGGAGTGTGATATAACAGTGCAATTTGTAATGCAAAATAAAATGAGGCTTTAGGGGCCCTCAAAACTGGGAGCCCTGGAGCAATTTCCTTTTAGCTGGTAGAATAATTTTTGGAGCAATTTCCTTTCAGCTGGTAAAATAATTTCCCTTTCATTTTCTGCTCTTTCATTTTCTGTTTCTACCTATCAATCTACTCCTTTCCTATGATCTGTTCTTTCCTTATCTATAAACTTATTCAGGTGTTCCCTACCCTTAAAAACATTCCCTTGACCTTGCCCATCCCCACCCCTGTTCCAAGCTATTGTCCCATACTGAGTTGAAACCAAAAATTTTAGTGCCCTGGCAAGCTCCCCAACACTAGCCTAGGGCAAATGATGGTAAGACTTGGGAGGAGGGAAATCGGAACTTAGGAAAAATGGTCCCATGGTGGGACAGACCGAGGACACTGTTGTATCACCTCTTGGGACACCAGTACCACCAGGTATTCCACTTCGAAGGCTTTTTGGTCAGCAACCCTGAGAATCTTCCCCTCCCAGTTTGATATATATATATATATATATATA